TGTATATATAAAATTGTATATACGTGTAAGTATATTGTAATTATTGTAGAATTGTTGTAAAATAAATTTAATATTAAAAAGAAAATCAAAATACAGGCACCTCATTTACATCGCGTTCTTTAAGTCACTGAAAAAATGAAAAGTTGCGTTGTCACCTGTTGAAGACGTTTCAGTGAAAATAACTTTGTTAATTTTTTAACTCTTCATTTTAATAGTCAAAAATTATATTAATCATCTGTAAATCACCACACAAAGAGGAGAACAAGATAACAGGAAACTATATACGTATTTCAATTTTAAATACATGTTGTGTGTTAGTGTGACTCGTTGCAAATAACAAAAAAAGCGTCACAATTGTTGCCTAACCTTAAGTAACTTCATTACTGAGAGGCGCACACTCCGTTAGCCGGTACGAGGCTGCCATTCTATAAATTTTCTTCCCCATCGCAATTCGATTTGTCAAGCTACATGGCCAGCCTATAGCAATTTCAGAGTACTGATCTGACGACTTGGTAAGACATTCAGGAAGTCGGTGGATGCAGGTGGCACAGGACCGTGCTTTGTGAAGCAGTGAACTTGAAGGGCTGTAATGATGATGATGATCTGTTAGGGTTGATCAGTTAATCTGGTTCTACTACGGATATCATCGTTACGGATTCTTACTGAATTGCAAAAATCCTTATAATTTTGAAACTCTGACCAAATCATGTAACTTGCGAGCTTGAGACATTCTAATTAATAATTGATATGAGTCTTATGCAAACATACGTATAATAAGTAGGTAAACGTGGTTGTTTTAATTGTAATATAGGTTTATTCTTTTGTCGTTAACACAAAAATAATAAAATAACTTAGAATTTTAGTCCCACGTTCCAGTTAGTATGTGAACACGGTTATTTTTAAATACATCCATACTACAATACGATACCCTTTACTCGTATTGTACACTAAGAAAACATATAACATAACAAGAAACAATCTAAGAGAAAAACAAAAAGCGGTCTTATTGCTATGCAGCCATTTCTTCCAGACAACCTAAATAGGAAATAAAAATCAGCGGAACGTTAATTAATTAATGTGTATAGTGCACTATAAATAATATTATAATCTAAAATATAAAAGTAAATTAATAAACATGACGTTATTTACTTAATTGACAAAGTAGTGATCATAAAATGACAGGAAGAAATGAAAGGAGGATGGAGAATTTAGGAGGAAACATAATGTTTTTAACTTAGTTTTTAAAGGAGTCTGTTGTTTGAGCACGTTTTATAGTTGATGGTAAGGAATTCCAAAGCTTTGCTCTAAGAACTGAAAAAGATTTACTGTATATGTACTACCGAACGATTTTACCAGATTGGCACAGAAAATTGTGAAGTTTGCATGCACCTATTTTTCTATGTACTCGTACTCGTATGTTGATGCATATTTGTTAGATTTGTCTTTTCGTGCCGTTCCGACACTTTTTGACTTACTTGCCTTGAAGGTTTGATACACTTTAAGTGCAAAGGATCGTTAGTTTCTTCTTGACCCCGAAATCACGCAAAACGATATGAAACGCTGGTTTAGCGTTGGCCGAAAGAGAGAGAGAGAGAGAGAGAGAGAGAACAATTAAATCGTGTAATCCCTACGCACTTATTCCGAATGTATCCTATAGAATACCGACAGGACTGTCTAGATTGATGGTGAACAGTTATTCAAAACTGATAGGATGGTTTAGTTTCGATCTCAACGGTCATTTTCGAAGGACTTGATTAATACACGAGTGTATTTGGGCAAACATAAGCGTACTCTCTATTCCCTCACTCTCATCATCCTATGGGACAGCAATTCAGCACTACCGGAGAGAGATCAAATGCAGGACTAACGAATTTACATTATTTCAGAGGTTTAAGGTGTGACACCGCCAACTTTCCGACTCCGGACTGTTACTCAGATATTCTTAACAGAAAATCTCGATAAATGATTTTGTTTCGACCTGAGATTCGAACCAGCGATCACATAATGAGCAGTCGTGCTTACGTTCACTCGAACAACGAGACAGTCAGAGCCTTGCACACACTGCGACAGCAAGACTTCATGCGCGACTGCGCTTGCGGTTTATTTACGGTAAGAAACTGTACTATACTAGTGTGAATAAAATGACACGTTGGTCGTAATAGATTACTTAACTCTGACAGAGTTAAGAATAATTTACTTGTCAAACAAAATCCGCATTATCGATAGTGTTACATGTGTTTTTTTTTTTTTGTTAAATTATACTTTGTTGTTATACATGTTTGACGTGAAGCACCGATGCTTCGAGAAGTCTGCAGTATGTGAACATGTCATTGCAAAATAACACGGATTCCTACGAATACTATGATGTGCAAGATACTGCAAGCATGTTCGGCCTAGATCAGACTAAAAACTAGTATAATTAAAATTTGAAAGTAGCCGTAATACCCAAAAAAATAGTAGCGATAGTACCCAAAAAAATATTTTTATTCAATATAACATGTAATAATTAGACTTTACTAAACAACTTTCAAATCTTATGTCCAAAAAACAAATGCATTACATTATATGCATACATAAGTTATTATACATCTATGTATTAAAAACCTTGTAACAGTTGTCCATATAAATTTAAGAAATTAATATCAATGGTTATTCCAAAGAAGAAGACCATTTCTGTTTCGATTTATTTTACACTTGGCAAATTAATGATTCTCTGATTATCTAAAACAAAATTACGTAACTTATAATAACAGTCCGTGTTTCCAAGAAATCGTTTACTACAACACTAATGTGTCGCTGTTGGATTAGGCTTTTGTTATGTAGCTTGAATAATAGTCCAAGTAATGGTATAATCAAGGTTACAAACGGAAATAGTCGTAGCAGATATAACTGGTTTGCATATTGTTTTTTATTTGAATAAAACTAAAATATTAAAACGAACTAGTTACTAACTGACAAAGATATTCATATAAGCAATTTCTTTTTACAATTTCAAACGCTTATATGAATAATATTAGACTTTAGGAAAACCTAAAAAACACACATCGATCTAACGCTGATTAAGTATTTAATTTTATCCTGGTGATCGCGACCAGGATCCGAGGGTAAAGTAATTAAATTATTGTATTGTGTCCTTGATACGAGTACAAATTTTGAAGTCAACCGGCCGCATACAAGTTGATGAAAATTACATTTAAAAGATTAGTTAAATTATACTTTGTAGTTACATAGATAGTTAAATAGATACACGCGAAGCGCATAAAAGTGTCTCGTCCGGAAATATTTACAATCTCGAAAAAATTTTAAATAAGTTCGCAACATCGGTTGCTGCTCTCAAAAATCTTAAATTTAATGATCTTGTGAACTTTATATTTGTACATATTGCATTTTAAAAATGGGTAGTAGCTGATTTTGTATGTTTCTAAGATGATACTTACCTACTACCTATAAATTTTATTAAAAGTTGTTTTTTAATTACTGTATAAGCACATTATTAAAAAAATAACTTAATAAAAAGTAAAAGTCAACTTGAAACAAATAAATAGAACAAAATAATTCAATAAAGTCTTTGCTAAGACATATTGTATAGAACAGTGATTCCCAACCAGTGGTCCGCAAGAACTAAGAAGTACGGCCTGCGAAAAATTTACATATTTAACTTCCCAGTGGGAAGTTATAGTAATGGGACCGATTTTGCAAATTGGAAATTTTAACATATCTCCACGTTTCATGGTCTTTAGAGTCGAATAGTATGGTTTTTAAGAGGATGTCCATGTGTGCACATGTCCGTATGTATGTATGTATGTATGTTCGGATTTAATGTTCGCCTTGTGTATCTCGAGAACCAAGAGTGATATTGACATAGGACCAGTTTCATTTAACGCATAATTATGTAACTTAGACCTCATAAAGTTATGAGCAAAATCGGTCGAGTCGTTTTTTGTGCCGAATGAAATATTGTATGAAATATTAAAAAATATGATTTTCTTATTCTTTCCACTGCGAAGTTAGTCGTGTGGACCCGACTATTAAAACAAGCTAACTGACAAAGATATTCATATAAGCAATTTCTTTTTACAATTTCAAACGCTTATATGAATAATATTAGACTATTAGGAAAACCTAAAAAACACACATCGATCTTACGCTGATTAAGTATTTAATTTTATCCTGGTAATCGCAACCAGGATATGAGGGTAAAGTAATTAAATTATTGTATTATATATAATTTATATATAAACACCTTTCGGGTCGCAACTAGACCGCTTTTTAACCTACCTAATCGTTTTACATTTGTTATATATTTTGCAATAAATAAAAAATGATAGCTTTAATTCTATCATTTTTTTGACCAGTGAGAGGTTATCTAACATTTTTTTTGCCCAGAGACCACTTTGATTTTTTTGTTGTTAGCAGGGACCACAAGGTGAAAGAAAGCACTGTGTTAATCTAACAATAAATTATAACCACAACTTTTAACATTATGTAATAAATTGAAAAGAAGCATTCATTAACAGCATTATTTTTGTATTTATTGCAAAAGAAATCCAAAGCCCCAACTTTAAATACAATTTTTTTTAAATTGTTTCAAGTTAGGTTTCACTTTTTATTAAAAGTAATTTTTTACTCTTTCGAGTGGACTAAATAACATCACAATCTTATGTTGTCTAAATAGTTCCATTAAAAACTTTATCGCTTATTTTGGCAACTTTGGACGTGGCATTTTTCTCCAAATTATATCATGATAAATCCCCCATAATCCATCATAAATTATACCAGCTAATGTTACAAAAGCACCAAGAGCTACAAAATTGGTGTGGTGCCCCTAAAGTATAAGCTATTTAATAAAAAAAGAATCATCTAAATAGGTTCACAATTGATGAAGATATTGTGTAACATACATACAAAATAAACATACAGTCGAATTGTTAACCTCTTCTTTTTCAAAAGTCGGTTAATGAAATTTAGATACCCATAGGTAAGTAGTGAATAGTACTTACTTGATTTGTGGTAAGTGGCTGCACTATAGTAGTAGCAGTAGACACCGAAGGCAAGAACCAGGAGCAAAAAAGCCAAAATGCGGGTGGAGAATGGTCTGCAACGCAGCACTCTTGTTCTCATAGTGCTCTGTAACAACAATATAGCTGTTTCATTCATTTTTTTTAAAGGATAGGGTGACAAATGAGCATACAGTCTACCTGATGGTAAGTGGTAGCTGTGGCCCATAGACATCTACATCTATCCTCAATTACGAATCAAAATGTCACCCATGAGGACTTAGGTGGAATGCCTCGTTTCCAGTAAAAAGGGTCTCCGGTTCTCTCTACACTCACCATACGAAACACAGCAGCATTAAGCTACTATTTCACGCTGGTATTCTGTAAGAGTGTGGTCCCACCCCGGTCGAGCCGACCCATTCATGCTACAACTAAACTACTAATATAACTGCAACATGGCTCTACCACGTAAAGAAACATAACATTAAAATCTAGTTCATAAAAGGACTGATAAAAAGTTAGGAACAATACATGAAGGAGTTTCTTTAGATATAAATCTGGGCTACTGAATAAAGTAACTCTGAATTGGAACAATTTCAATGGTTATTGTATTCGAAAAGATTAAGAAAACTCTTCGACTTTCAAACTAAAACAATATATATCAAATGACAGTAAGACAAAGCGACAGTAGCCTGATGTTCGCATGGACCGCAAACTCAAAAGGTCGTGGGTTCGAATCCACCATTTGAATACTGTTGTGAACTATTCCTTACACAAGCATTTAAGTTTACCAGGAGTGATTAATAGGAATATTAGTAATGTTAATAGCATTAGTAGTATTTAAAAAATATCATTTACATGCCAAGTCCATACAAAAATGGTCATAGTTCGCTATCCATCACAACCCTTTACATACATACATACATACATACATATATGTACATAACATAACGAACCTTTCCTTTATTGTTTATTATATTGACTATATTGTACTATAATGATTTCTTAAGTCAACCGCTCAAAGCTAAAAGGGCCATGTTTTGTTACTGTTAAATTTCAAAATACTCATGTTTATTGGGATTTTATGAATAGATGTAATGTAATGTATGAACCAGGTATTTACAAAATATATAAACTTATCCAATAGAGAAATTTGTCGTTTTTCTTTTATGCACACATAAAACCAGTTCACAAGGAAATTTATTCAATGTAACGGAAAAATATAATATTTGAATATCACCACTTTGTTGCATTGATTTAAGGGGAGGTAAGTGTAGTAATGAGCAGGGTTCCTGTGCTCTGCTTCATACTATACACTTTCTGGGCATATCCAATACACTTTCAATCAAATAGGTAAGATTCCATTCCATCATTTGTTCCCAATATTAAGTGCATTTATGCTTCAATCATTTTTTTACTTATTTATTCCTTCTTTTTGGACACTTATTACTGAGTAATTAACATTTATGTTGATGATGACATGAATGATTGACAGTCTACACATGGAATATCAATATTTAGCTTGCCTTTATGTTTAACATGCTTTTATTAGCTTCTTTCGCTATTATGTACGTATGTATCTATCTATCTATGTACAGGAATCTTTCAATGTAATTTTCACCTGATTGTAGACTGATAATTGACTTGATTTGCACTTGTAACCAAGTCTGATGAAAATCCAATAATTTAATAATTTTATCCTGTGATAGTAACCTGATCGGAATAAAATAAAATAATTTGAACTTTAATATGTTTCTTTAGTTTTTTAAACTATAATTTTATTATTATTATTATTGAACTTTGCTAAGCCATGGCTTGACTGCTATCTCACCTGGTAGTAATTTTTGATGCAGTCAAATATGGTAAAATGCGCTGACTTAGCTTAACTTGGAGCTAGGCTTGGAGACACCCACACTTTAATCTGATAGAAGGACAGATACTGGCAACTTTCGCAATCGTTCTATCCCAATTCTATCACATATGCATGAGGAATGTTCAATCATTTAATTTGGTTCAAATTAATTGTAAATTGATAACAAAGGGGTGGAGACTGGCCAGGCATCTGCCTTTCCAATGACAGAAGGGGAAGACGGAATTAGGTTATGCAATTCCTGCGAACACCCTCCAAAATGTATTCTGTAAAAAACCTATAAACTGGCTACTTTGGACCTCTGTTTACCAAAATCTCTTAGCATGCCTTTCCATTGTGTGCAAAGCAACCAGCTGGCATTTTGAAGAAGCACCAGCCCACATATGGCATGTTTTTATATAGAATTAAGATGACAAACCAGCACACAGTACAACTGATGGTGCTGAGTGGCTACTGTGGCCCATAGACATTTAACCTTAATTAAGAAATAAAATGGAGATGTGTGTCAGCCTTGAGGACTGAAATGGAATGCCTTGTTTCCAGTAAAAAGGGTCTCTCGTTCTCTACACTCACCATACAAAATACATCAGCATTAAGATGCTATCTTACATTGGTATTCTATGACAGTGTTGTCCAACCCTGGTCAAGCTGAACCCATTTGCTCTACAACCACAATATAACTGCAGCATGGTTCTAATGTGTTAAAAGGCATCAAAACTACATTTATGACTGGCCTTGTATTTTACATAGAGTAAGCAGCAGTCCTCGCTAATACTGAAAACTCAAATCAATCAGGTGATATGTCGACACATCATTCATTTCACATCATGTTTATGTCACATCATGTTACATTATGTTTTGTTTTGTTGAAATAACAAAAAAAATTAAAGTGAACTAGTTATTAAGAATGGAAATAATATAGGTTATATAAAACACTTAAAGATTGTTTTGTTGAAAGTATTCAATCCCCAAGCGGTTGGATTTGACCGCGCACACCCACAGCACTTTAAACCATTAAAACTTATATTTAGAGACTACTTTTCTATGAAGAAGTTTGGCATTATAGAATCAATATCAAATTTTCTATTCTTTATTGCAATAAAAAGTCAAGTTATCCTATGGATATTTATAATCTACGTTCATTTCGTACGCCATTTTCACGTGAATGTTATTGTGTTGATTTTTGGTTTTTCTAGTGTGTTATTAGTGTTTTAGTACAGTGTTTTATTATAAAATTGTAATGAAAGTATTTGTGTGAATATAATTTATCTTTTTACGTAAATAATTTTGAGTAATATGTATTGAAATAATTGTGATTTTCACGTTCTTCATGCTTGTTTGTTGTTCTTGTTTTTGTTATCAAAATACAATAGTCTTTTTGTAATGAAGTAAAACCGGACTTTTATATAGAGAATTTTATAATAAAATTTAATAATAATAATAATAACACTCGCAACTATCAAACGACCAATGCTACTCTCTCGGACTCCGATGCTTCTGAATCGATTTCTTCGTCAACAGCTACGGATGTTGTGCAGAAGGCATGCGCTGACAATTCTGCACCCGCCAAAGCTAGTAAATGTGCACGCAGGAAATGGAGTGAAGATCTCTACTCCTAGGTCATATCTTCCCCAACTTCATGCAAAATTTATAGAAAAATACCCAGACATAGATGTTAGCAGACATCGAGTAGGTGACCAACGTAGGGCAATAACTAACGGTAAATTATTAACTGCTGAACAGGTTCAAGTAATACGTGAGGAAGTGAAAACCTACTGAGACAATAATCGTAACAATGAGCACCGGAAAATTAATAATATAGTAACCGGTAACCAAAGAATGCATTGGGACAACGACTTAAATGAATTCATCGTAAAAAGTTTCTACAGAATTACTACTGGTGGAACTAACAAAACTGCTTACAGACGTCCTCTACATCAATCTTTTATCACCAAATTCCCACATTTTTCTCACGTATCTGAGCAACGCGTAGCAGATCAATACAGAGCAATCATTCATAATAAACTATTAAATGCAAGTAGGGATGAAATTGCAATAGAGATGGCTATCCAGAATAAAACAGCAAATAACGACACAGAACCTGACATATTCTTACAAGACAATTATAGATTTGACTACATTCAACCCGCCACTGAGAATCTCGGGATACATGAAAGCCTAGCAATACACAAATTTCCCCGGATACAATTACACCCACAGATTATAATGCAGAACAAGAAGACTAAAATAATGAAATTCAGCAAAATTACAACAAACTTATTGGGGACATACGAAATAAAATTGATGGGACATTTGCAATGCTTTTAAATAAATATAAAAACGTCGATCCTACAACTTGACCTAGCACACCTAAACAAAAAATTTCTAAAAAACTGGCGTGTATTGTACATTACATTAACCAATCGCTGCTTCCTGTCCATGTACCACCTGATTCAGATTTTTACACGATTCAAAATGCTATATATATTGTGCAGCTGCTAATGTTTCAATTTATAATGGATACAAAATAATGGACCCTGAAAATAACTCCTCATATTGGAAAAAACGAATCCCTAAAAGGCAAATGAGACTAGAAGACAGAATCCCAAATATTAGAGTTAAAATAGGAAGACTAACGGAATATATAAATGGCAATACAAGCATAAACTCAAACGCGAAATAGAAAAAATTACAGCAGCTTATAAAATACATTCAATGCATGAACACCAAAACAAGAAACTAGCCCATTTCCTAGACACCCTCAAACAAAACCTTAGTTCACTTGCAAACCGACTATTTCTTAGAGTGGTTTCTTTATATCTACGTATAAAGAAACCACTCTAAGAAAACAATAAAATGCAGCATTTTATAATAATGAAAAAACATTCTACAAAAACCTAACAAACGCACATGATATTACTGATAATAATAAATTAGTAGAAATACCTTAAACAGAACAGCTGCATCAATTTTGGTCCAATTATGGTCAAACCCCAAAACACACAGAGAAAGCGATTGGATTAAACAAGATAGGGAATTATTAGTAGATTTACCAGAAATGATGTTCGATGAAATAGACATGAATCTATTCAAAGCTATTTCAATTTATAAAATCCATAATTATTGGTATAAAAAGTTTACTTACTTACATCTGCTCTTACTGTCACACATCAACACATTTATAAAAACACCAGAATCATTACCAAGCTACAATACACTAGGAACAACTTACATGATACCTAAAGACCGAAGTG